GCATGGCTCAGGATAGAACAGGATTCAGATCTTTAGTGTATAGGGTCACTGTGAGTTGTGCTCAACTCAATGGCACTTAACAACAACAACAACAATAGTTAAAGAGGGAGACAGAAGGGGGAAGGTAATCAGAAAAGCTAACGAAAAAAGAAGAAAACTCAGCAACCTAGTTCTAGAATTAAGTGCTATATTGGTTTAAATCAAATAAGCAGAGATTGCTGGGAAAAACAAAGGCTCAGTAAAACAGAAGATGACCCTCAAGGAGATGGATTGACAGTGATTGTTACAATGGGCTTGAACATGGCAGAGTCATGACAATGGTGCAGGATAGGGTAGGGCTCACATCTGTTGTGAAGTCAACTAGATGGCACCTTACAACAGCAGAAAGCAGAAATCTGTTGATTACTTGATTTAAAAAAATCCCAATCTCTTAAAATGGAGTTCCCTTACTTACTATTAGTGGAAACTGGTGTTTGGTTTTATTTGCTTGGCTGCAGGATAAGATTTGACTGCTTATAATTACTAAGTTAACTAGCTAATTCTTTGCTGCAAAACTCTAGTATGTTATTGGTTCTGACATATACAAGTTTGGAAATAAATGATGCTTGAGAAGATCCACCTCCTTGATTCATGATTTGATTTTGAGAAAGAGTGCTCAGAACAGAGGAGAAGGGAGTTTAAGTCAGCCTCAAAAAAGAGTGAGGGTTTTTTAAAATTAATATTTCCATGTGACATTAATTTTTATCACTCAAGATATAAATGGGCACAGATCAAAGGGTAGGTCAGTAAGCCACAAAATAGTTCTCTTTCAACTACTTGCCAAAAGAAGAGTTGCTGAGATTGTGCTTCATATGTTACAACTCAAACGTTCCTCATCAGAGCCTTAATTTGGCATCAAGAAGTTGATTCATTTGGGTTCAGACATCTGTTGTTTCTGGATGGCTTTAAAATTCCATTGCAAGCTTAAAAATGCTCAAATTGCAAAGCATGTCCTTATGACAAGTATCTATTTGGTGTATGTTCACCTTCTCTCTCTCCAAATCTCCCACAAATTCTTCACTTGGGCCTGCAGTGTCTGCTTCCTCTCTATATGTAATAGAAATGGAGCATGTCTTATCGTTTTAAATTCTCATTTCAAAGATTACATCTGGAGCATGGAATGCTTTCCCAGAGAAGTTTATTCTTTATGTGTTTGGAATGTGCTGGAATGTGTGTAAATACTTTTTAAAGTCAGAACTTGCTGCTTTCCCCTCTTGCACTTGCCATTGCCTGACTGCTCCACGCCGATCTCTTTTATAGAACGTTGCAAGTTCTAGCAAGATTTCTTTTGGAGAAAAATAGCTGTAATTAGATAACTCTTCAAAGGCAAATATGACATTAATGAAGCATCTCTTTCTTGTTCTGAGAAACAGCTACATAGCTTTTTACCATTCCAGGCAGGACTCCACCTAAGAAATGTTATGAATGCAAGCAGGCAATGAATTAGCTGAATAAATTCCCTCGCATTAGAAAAAAACCTAGTTTTGATGAACACATTTTAAAGAGTTATGTTCTTGGGATTCTTCTACTACACTCCGTAGCTTTTTAAAATCAGTTTTTTAAAATACTGGTTTTTTTAAAAAGTTCTTATGCATTTCCCGCCCCCCGACACTCCTTAGTTCTTTATCTCTGTATTCTTCCACGAATGTTAAATAAAGGTGGGCAATTTCCTCCAGTGTGATGAATTGCCTCAGAAAACCCGCCTGAGGGCCAGTATGGGTCGTTCCAACCCACTGGTACACAGCAGCAAAGATAGGAAGACAGATTTTTTTTTTTTAAGAAGGAATGAGAGGCAACATTCTGTTGCAATTTTCATCAAGGTTTCAGGTAAAAACTGAGGGAGTTTAGGTGATGCCACGGTGTTTTCAGTTTTTCCGAAATGAGTCTTGGCTTTGATTTCCTACACCTTGTCATGGATCCTAGGAAAACAACTTGCGAGATCCCTTCCCTTTTGTACACAAACTCAACCCAATAAGGATTGTAAGTGAATGTAGCGTTTACTACCCTAAGAACTACAGAATAGTAAGTAAGTGAGTGAATTATTTATAGCAAGGCAAAATAAACCAAGGAGAAGTCTTGGCCTTCATGGATCCAACAGTGTAGGCGGTTAGTTCTTGAATTCTCCATGTCAGTGCTATTTGGATGGAAACACTAATCAGTAGCAAGAAGTTACTAGCAGAGAATTTCTAGTCTGTGTAGATCATTAACTCTTATCTTTCCTTGACCTTACTGATCCCCTATCACCACAAGCAGATCCAAGTTTTAAGCCCACCCTAGCCACTGACTTTTTGGACTTTTACCCCTTAGTCTTGGCTTTGCTTTTCAACTGACAGAATTGTACTGTTTGAAAGGCTGCCCATTTCTTTTTCTTTTTTTTTTTTTTAAGGCTGTCCATTTCTGAATACACCCTTTGATTTCCTCTGTCTTTCAAGTTCTTATGAAAAGAATCCTGCACAAATTAAAAGTCTGCTCTTTTTAAGAAATCATAACTACTTCTTACCTGCTGCACTAAAAGAGTAGTAAGAGCTTGGATCCTACCCTCTTTCATGATCTTTGTGAATCCAATAGCTACTGGATTCCAAGTTCCTTGTCTGGCCCATTTTAATTTTTAATTTCTTGGAGGGATGGTTGACCACTTGTCACTGAGAACTTAAACTCTGGTGTAAAACACATGAAGATTGATGTCCTTGCTCTATTCATTATTTGAGTGACATGCAGGCTATTGTTTAACCCCTGAATGTCTTGGTTAAATGAAGTTGTTGTTGTTAGGTGCCATCGAGTCCAGTATGACCCATAGTGACCCTATGAACAACAGATCTGAGCCCTGTCCTATGTTGTGCCATCCGCACAACTTCTAACACACTCAAGCCCGTTGCTGCAGTCACTGTGTCAGTCTACCTGGTTTACAGTCTTCCTTTTATTTACTGTCCCTCCACCTGTCCAAGCATGTACCCCTCTCCAAGGAATAACCTCTACTAGCAACATGCTCAACTTATGTAAGACAAAGCTTCATCATCTTTGCCTCCAAGGAGTACTCTGGCTGCACCTTCTCCAAGACATACATATTTGTTCTTTTGACAGTTCATGGGATATTCAGTACTCTTCTCTAATGCCTCAGTTCAAAGGCATCAGTTCTTATAGGATTTTTATTCACTGTCCAACTCTCAGATGCACAGCAAGTGACTGAAAAGACCATGGCCTGAGTCAGGTGCACCTTAGTCGTCAAACTGAGATCATTGCTCCTTAAATATTTGAACATGTTCTTGACTACACACTTTCCTTGTATAATCTAATCTCCTGACTTCTGGTACCAAGTGTATCAATTGTGGATCCAAATGAAGTCATTGACAATTTCAATCTTTTCTCTATCATAACACAGTAACTGGGGAAATGGAGGTAGTAGGTGTGTTAGAGTCAGTGAGACTGGCTCAGGATAGGGCAGAGTTCAGAGTTATTGTACATAGGCTCACTATGAGCTGCTGACAACTCAATGGCACATAACAACAACATCATGATGTTGCTGTTGGTCCAGTGGCGAAGAATTTAATTTTCTTGAAGTTGATATGTAAAGGTGCAGTGTTTAACATTCTGCAGCAAGTGCTTCAAGTCCTTCTAACTTTCAGCAAGCAAGGTTACTGAAAATCCACGTAACAAAGATTATTAATGAGTCTTCCTCTAATCTTTATGCCACATTCTTCTTCATAGACTCCAGCTTCTTGAATAATTAGCTCAGCATACAGGTTAAATAGATTTGGAGATGGGATATAACCATGATGCACACCTTCCCTAATTTTAAACCCTACAGTGTTCCCTTGATCTTTTCAGGCAATAGCCTGAAGGTCTAGGTCTAGATTGCACATGAGCAAAATTAAGTGTTCTGGGGTTCCCATTTTTCCTAAATGTTGGCCAAATGATCAAGAGCTAATGGTAATAAAAGAAGGACAAGCTCCATTGAAGGCATTGGCAAGAAAGAAAGACCTAGAAATCTGTAGAATGCCAATTGACATGTTTCAAATAGTAGATGCAGCCGTGGTCATGACCACCAGGTTGTGCAAGGAAATTTGGAGTACAGCTGCCTGACTGGCTGATGGACTGAAAGAGGTCCATATATGTTCTCATTTGCAATAAAGGTGACCTGACAGCACATGGAAATTATAAAACAATATCATTAATATCACATATAAGCAAAATAAGGCTGAAGATCACGAAAAAAAAAATGCCTAGATCTTTAACAAATGGTGTTGACAAAATTGGAAAACTGTAGAAAACTCAAGCAAGACCCACACCTCACGCCATACACAAAAACCAACTCAAAGTGGACCGAAGACCTAGCAGTAAAATGAAGGACTATAAATTTCATCAGAGAAAAGCTTAGAAGAACTCTGTTCCTCTCACCTTTTCTATTTAATTTGGTGTACCTTAGAATTGAATCCAACTGGCACAGGAGGAGATTGCCCTTCCTTCTCTAGGGAAGCATTTGGTGGATTTAAGCTGCTTGGGAAAACTCTAGAAGACCTAATCCGTAACATGAACAGTCTTCCAAGCATCCTGAAAAACCTACAACCAGGAGAAAATAAAATAGATGAATAGGACCTATTTTTTTCTTGTCTTATTAACAAAAAACTTATTTAACATTACTTCTTATTAGACAAAGGTATAAGCAAAAAACCTCCCAAAGTCTTGTACATGTGAAAATTTTCCATAAAGAACTCTGGGATGCAAAATAAGACCCAAGATAAGGACATACTTATCTTGAATGCCTTAAGATTGTTTCTTTTTAAGCTACAAAAATACTACCAAGCAGAAAGATTGTATTTTGTTAATATGTACACAGAGAAATAATACAAAAGTTTCACATTCTATGGTTTCTAAACATTAAACCAATGGTTTCCATAAAATGTTGGTCTTTCATGGTTCAGAAGAACTCAGATGGCTGATAGTCTGAAAGTTCATCTTTCTTTTCAGAAGTCTTGCCGGATGTTTTCTTTGTTTGCCTCTCCATGCTGCTGCTTTATTTGATAGATTTCATTTTCTAGTTGTACAATACTCCGTTCAATCTCATAATTCTTACTAACCAGGGATACCCAAGTTGACTCCATTTCTCTCAATTTGGACCCAGCTGTTAGTTGCATATTCTTTCGCTGCCAGTTTAAATCTTGAATATGTTTCCTTAATTTCTGGAGCTCTTTTTGAGCATGTTCAATCATGTGAACCAGATTTTCATTGTATACTTTCCAGGCATTGCATCCATGCTGTGACATCAGTTCTAGATTTTCAATTCGAACTGCTTGATGTTCTAATGGGCCATAGAATTATTTACACATTCTTGCCATGCAGTAATATCATTTTTCTGACCTGAGGAAGGGGCTGGAAGCTCATAACGTTTCATACTGAGCAACTCAATTGGCTGTCGAGCAGCCAGTCTTTCAAACTCATTTCTCATTATGTCAGTTTCAAAAGCTGAGTAATCTGGGGCTGTCAGGTAGCTCAGGTAGTTCTTTGTAGGTCGATATCTGCGAGTTTCCTCCTCCACCAGTGCTGCAGCCACCAGTCCAGAATAAGAGCTGCATAGCAAAATGGACTGGTGAAGAGTGGGGGGGCATTTAGGGAGGAGAAATATGCAACAATGAATGAATGGAAATCCAAGTTCTCTGTAAACTTTCATTAAAATCTCAATTAAACAAAAAGTGTTAAAAAAAAAAATGACTAGAACAGTACATAGACAGGAACTGCCAGAAGTTCAAGCTGGATTTAGAAAAGGTCGTGGCACTAGCGATTGCTGTTAATCAGATGGATATTGGCTGAAAGTAAAGAATACTAGAAGAATGTCTACTTGTGTTTCATTGACTATATACAAAGGCATTTGACCATGCAGATCACATCAAATAATGGCTAAATTAAGCAGAATGAGTTAAATAAGGAAATGTACTATAAGTACATCCACATATATAGCACAGCCAGTAGAGGACAATGCTTTCTTTGTAAACATCTTAATCATAACTAACACCCTAAGGGAATGAATTGCTAGTTCTGGAACCTTGGACCCATAGCCTTTGGGAATATTAAAGTCAATTGGCGTTGCATAGTTCACAAAGACCATGTTCTATATCCTACTTTGCTGGGTAGAAACTAGCATCTTGAAAGCTTGCCAGTAGCTATCTAAGGTACAACTGTGGTCTTTTCTTCCAAGGATCAAAGAAAAGGGAAAATCAAGAAAAATTGTACTGAACCAATTAGTCCTAATAGACAATTTTACTTCTGCAGCCATAAGCCTGGAAGAACTAGACGGTGCCTAGCTACCAAAACGATCATTCTTAAAGGGACACAGTAACAGGTTCTGAATAGAGGGGGATAAAGTGTGAAACAAAACTAAAAAAATGTAATAAAAGACCACGTTTATTGTTCTGATAGAGACCTGGTGGAACTCAGGAGACTATAACCTTTGTGTTTGGAACAAAACTCATTCCCTGTTCAAGTCAAACTGCTTCAGAGGTAATAACAGGGAGATACTTAATTCTTCTTTCCTACTCCTTCTTCCCTCCAGGGTTTTATCCTTGGGCAAATGCTGATAATTTGACCTTATCAGCATTTGTCCAAGGATAAAACCCTGGAGGGAAGAAGGAGTAGGAAAGAAGAATTAATAGAGATGAAATTAGAAAAAGGAAGTGGGAGAAGTGTGGTTTCATTGCTATTGTTGATTGCCGTTGAGTTGAGCACGACTCATAGGGACCCTATGAACAAAAGACCTGAGGCTTTTCTATAACTATCATTGTTTCTCTAAATTCATAGAGTTTCTAAAGGCATGTGATTTAGGAAGTGGATGCCACTCCTGCTTCCAAGCCTGTCTTAATCTGTAAGCTCTACCAAATACTGTCAACCATGTGTAACCATTATGGCATTTGATACACCAATGGCAAACCATTCAGTATCACAGTAATCTCAAGTTACCTCAGTAGAGCAAAATGACAAAAACAAAACAAACCACTACTGTACCACTCAGGAGAACATTCACTTCAAACACAGCTAAAAATGAGGTCCTCAGGCCCAAATAAATTATAAAAAACCCCAGGCCCATGCACCAGGCTTTCATTGGCTCTAGCAAGAGCCTTCTGGCCCACACTCAACACCAAACAGATAATACAGAACCAACCCTTCCTCATTGTTGTTGTTGTTTTTGTTATGTGCCATCAAGTCGCTTTCTACTCATAGTGACCCTATGTACAAGAGCCCTAAATGCCGTTCTATCCTGTGCCAATCTAGCCATCCCAAACACACTCATTCCCACCACTCCACACACAGAATAGATCCATTTCATCGAGGGTCTTCCTCTCCTGCGCTGTCCCTCCACTTTGCTAAACATGATGTCCCTTTCCAAGGTCCAGTCCCTCCTTGCAACATGCCCAAAGTATGTCAGATGAAGCTTCAGAATCCTTGACTCCAAGGAGCATTCTGGCTTCACCCTCTCCAGGACAAACCTGTTTGTTCTCCTAGCAGTCCATGATATATATATTCAACACTCATCTCGAGCACCACAGCTCAAAGGCATCAATTCTCTTTCTATCATCCCTATTTACTGTCCAACTCTCCGATGCACAGCGCGTAATTGAAAACAAAATGTGTATAAATGGATAAATGAGTACTAATGTGTTTTGTAAGCTTTTCTCAAATCACAACAGCAAAAAATAAACAAGATAATGTATAAACATCTATATTTGTATAGCATCTTTAGTATAAATGTTCATTATTAGAGTATTCATGTAAGTTGTGATTTATAGGTTGAACTGTTTCTCAAAATTTTTTAGTAACATAGTAGATTAACATTTCAATTTCCACATATTGCACATACATTAACATGTTACATTTAATTATGTATAAATACAAATTATGAAAGTTACTAAGCATGTAGATATATTTTTATACATCTTAGAAAAGTAGATTTATAAAAAAAAAGAAAAGTAGATTTATAAGTCCTTTAGTAATAAAATGGGGGCCTAAAGGAGATAAACGAGAAAAATCAACTAATAAAGCACTAAAAACAATCATCTATGAACATTAGTGTACAAGTCTCTGTGCCTCAGTTCTCATTTATTTGGGGTACATTCCAAGCAGTGTAATAGCTTTCCTTTTTTTTTTTTTTTTTTTAGTTGTTATTGTGTACTGTCGAATCAACTGGCACAGGAGGAGATTGCCCCTCCTTCTCCAGTGGAGCATCTAGTGGATTTGAACCATGCACCTTTGGAATTGCAATGCAGCTCTTGCCACTAGGCCACCAGGGTTTCCTTTATGTTTAGCTTTTTGAGGAAATGCCAAACTGCCTTCCAGATTGGTTGTACCATTTTACAATCCCACCAACAATGTATAGGAGTTCCTATCTTGCTACATGTTTTTTGCTGTCCTGATAAATTTTACTTCTGGAATGAGATGGTATCTCATTGTAGTTTTGATTTGCATCTCTCTTATTGCCAATGACTTAGAGCATTTCTTCATGCATTTGTTGGACTTGGAAACAGCCCAGATGTCCAACCACAATCAAATGGATTGAGGAATTATGGTACATTCACATGGTGGAATCCTACACAAGTGAAATGTGAAAACGGTTTAATTTACCAAAACGGAAGTGTGTGTGTGTGGGGGGGGGTTAGAAGTCTAATTTTTCTTGAAAAAAAGCCCTCTTCTATCAGTTTCCAAGACTGTATCCTTATTGGAAGAAATTGCCTGTCTTTCGGAGCAGCAGGTGGATTAGAAACACTGATCGTTTGGTTAGCAGCCCAAGACATTCTACACCGTGCCACCAAGGCTGTTGTAATCAGTCATGCTGCAAGAGAAGGTTGAGGCGGTTTGCTTCCACAAAGATTCCATCCTTGGAAACTCTGTAGGGAGATCTACTCTGACCTATGAGCTAGAGTCCACTCCAAGGCAGTGATTAGTTGTTTGGTTTGTGATTCCTTATTTGGGATTTGAACCATTAAATACCTATATTATATTTTGTTACCTCTTTTTCATAATATTTTAGTGTGTTTTAGGTAAAATCTTACTTGCCAAATTTGGTGCCCATTTGACAATTTTTATACAAATTGTTCCTTGGTATGTTTTACATTTTTCACAATGTTTTGACATTCTCAATATTTTAGTTTTGTTCATTCTGTTTTCATTAATCTGGTCTCCCTATCCCTCTTTATCATCATACTTTTGCGTTAGGATAAATGTTGACCACATGGTCTTATGTAGTTGACTATTTAAGGGAGAACAGCTCTCATGGGTATAGTGTATTTTATAAACCAATCTATTCTTGAGCTGAAAGGTGACATCCAGAAGTGGACAAAAGATACGTTAGAACAATAGTTATGAGGATGCCCTAGTTTCTATTGGTCTAGTAAGTCTGGATTTTTCAAAGGAGTGTGAGTTTTGCTCTACATTTAAATTGTCATTTCTTAAAATGGTGAAGTCAGGCTCTTAGAAGAGGAAAAGATTCAAGCACTACCTGTCAGCAAACTTAGCAAGAAAAATCTCTACAAATGGGTAGGGAGTGGGGTGAAGGAAATGGGAAAGATCTGGTGCGAAAAACAATGTATATAAACTTTATAAATAAACCAGCATAATTTTTAAAAAAAAATTTAAAAATCCCAACAATTCTCAATGAAAATTTTTGCTCCATTAAATTTATAAATTAGCATTATCAGCACCGGTTAGATTCTTCCTTCGTCTTCTGTATGTGCTCCTCCAGAAAGGTCAGAATGAAATTTCTGATTATATCAATTACCAAGAAGGGCTAGTCCTTAGAAAAGGACATCATCCTTGGAAAAATAGAGAACTGATGAAAAAGGGGGAGATCCTCAGCTAAAGTACTCCTTAGAGACAAGGACAAAAAAGCTCTGCCTCACATACTTGGGGTATGTTGCTAGGATAGCCTAGTCCTTGGAGAGCAATATTAGCTTAGAAAGGTGGAAGGTTAGCAAAAGAGAGGAAGACCCTCAAAGAGATGGACTGATACAGTAAATGCAGCAATGAGATCAAGTGTGTTAGAGATGACAAGGATGGCACAGCAAAGGACAGAGTTCAGATGTGTTGGTCATACAGTTACTTTGAATCATAGTCAACTTGTCAACACCTCACAGCAAACACAACAAACCTCAGAGAGGTGGATTGACACAGTGACTGCACCCATGGGCTTAAGCATGGTGGTGCCTGTGAGGATGAGGAAGGATTGGGCAATTTTCTTCTGCCGTGCACAGGGTCTCTAGGAACTCGATAGCATCTAACGACACCATGAAGATTGTGAGGATCTTCATTTATCCTTTTTACTGGCTTATAACTGAGGAGAGCTAGGAACAGAGAAAGCAATGTACATGGCAGATACTTTGAGTTATGGTATTGGAGGCTGTTTTGTCACCTATTGGAGAGCCACTGCCAATAGCAAGTTTGTTGTTGTTGTGTACCTTTGAGTCAGAATTGAAGTCATGGCTGACCTTCCAGTGGGTTTTCAGAGGCAGTAAATTGCACTAGAGGAAATTTTCCATTTGTCCTGCAGAATAACTGGGCAATTTGGACTGCATGCCTTTGGATTAGCACTTATCACCGACAATAAGTAGAATTTGGTAATTTCTAAGAGAGCTCATTCTTCTCCCATGAAACAGCTGGTGGATTCAAACTACATGCCTTAGAGATTGCAGCACTGCTCCTTGCCACAAGGTCACTAGAGACTCCCCATACTTTTGCTAGAATTTGTAACCTTTTCTATTATTAAAAAATAAAAATTATAATACATAGAACACTTAACTGTGTTCACGAGAAACCTACACCAGGAAGCTGTTGCTCAAACAGAGCAAGGAAACCCTGAGTGGTTTAAAATCAAGAAAGGTGTATGTCAGGGCTGTATCCTTTCTCTACACCTGTTTAGTTTCTATGCTGATCAAATAGTTCAAGAAGCTGGACTTTATGATGAAAAATGCAGCATCAGGATTGGAGGAAGATGCATAGATGACCTGTGATATGCTGATGACACAACCTTGCTTGATGAAAGTGAGGACTTGAAAAACTTGCTGCAATAGATGAAGGATTACAGTTTTCAGTATGGATTGCATGTCAACATCAAGAAAGCAG